TATATATATATATATATATATATTACTTTTATACGCACACACACAAACCATTAATAAAGGTGTATTTTAATATTAAAATACACGTAGCATTAAGTTATATATAAAATAAAAATAATCAATACATTTTAAAGAAAATGAAAAAAATAAATAAAAATACATTAAAAAAAATCATATACCAGTTTTAATTTGTTCTAACTGTATTTTGATATTAATATACATATATATTAAATTCAAAATACATTTAGAATTACATTATAAATACATATATGTATCTATATATCCAGCTCTATATATAAATAAAAAAATATGTATATATACACATATATACATATTGAAATTCTACAAATATATTTATATAATATTTTTACATAATCAAGTCATTTTATTTATTACAATTTGAGGGACCTGCCTGACAACCCAGGCTGAAAGTCCAGAGAATTTGGCTCACAAGCCCTATATTTAACCTTGTATCTTTCTAGGACACCATAAAACCTGTACATAGGCTATGTGGGGATTTTTTTGCAGTAAAAGCAAACAGTATTATGACATTTACAGTTAAAATGTCATGTAGAACTAAAAAAAAATTCTTATTTTCTCCCAATTTTTTTATATTTTATTCATATTAAATTATGTTTCATAGCTAAATATTTGATGTTAAATGAAAATCCTGTTTCCCCTGAATAAAATTATATATAATAAGTGTGAGTGCACTTAATATAAAAGAGGTGAATTATGGTTGAACAGACATATAGTCAAATTCCAGGTTTTATTTACGTTATGTTTTGATCACAACGTGCACATTTGGCTCAGTCCTTAAGGGGTTAAAGCAATGACAGTGTGATGTGCACCACTGACACCCCCTCTAGGATCTATTCCCCTTTCCATCCCTATCTTATGGAATAGGAGCCCAGAGGATTTTTCTCTAGTTTCCTTGAATAGCAGAAAACCATAAAAATAAACCAGTTAGCTAAACAGAGGTCCCAAATCAAAACTATCCCACCAAATACACTTAAAACAACTGTATACCCATCTGTAGCTTAGATATTATAATTGTCCGCATCAGGCCAATGATGGTCTTACAACACAGGACACTTTGTATATTTGCTTTATGTTTTAGTGACTCATTAAAAATTGCTTTCCTCTGACTAGGGTATTTAACCCCTTAAGGACAGCATATATATATATATATATATATAAAATAAAATTATAAAAGTGTCATTTTATTCTAACTGTATTTTGACTATATATATATATATATATATATATATATATATATATATATCTCTCTCGCAACATAAATATAGAATGGCTATATCTAGCTAAAAATAAATTTTAAAGATATGTATACACACACATTTACATTTTACGTATTTTTTTATGTTATCTTTTTACATAATTCAATAATGTTACATAACGTTATTAATTACAATTTGAAGGACCTGCCCAACAAGCCAGGCACAAAGTCTAGAGAATTTAATTTGAAAGCCATATATTTAACCCTGTAACTTTCCAAGACACCATAAAACCTGTACATGGGGGTACTGTCATACTGAGGAGACTTTGCTGAACACAAATATAAGTGTTTTAAAACATTAACATGTATCATGACGGTGGTATTATCAGTGAATGTGCGGGGTTGTGTGTGAAAAATTAATTATTAACTCCAACTTTGGCCAGAGTTTGTGATGACATGGCTACTAAAGAAGGCTGCACATACCCCATTTGCAATAGCCTGGGTTCTCTACTTTAGCAAATGTTATGTCATGATGGGGGTATTTCTCATTCCTAGGCTGCCATATGGTCTCAAAAGGCAACAGTCATCTGGCAAATTTCAATGTGTAAAAGCTGAAATTGGCAAGCCTTATATTTGACTCTAATTTTCCAAAATCCCATAAAACCTGTACATGGTTATTATGGTTGTAAGACATTGCTGAACACAAATATGTGTATTTTAGTGCAGTAAAAGCCAATAGTATTATAACATTCAGTTAAAATGCCATGCAGAACTATAACAATCTCTTAATTTCTCAAACTTTAGATTTAATTTATATAAAATTTTGTTTCATATATGAATATTTAATGTGAAATAAAAGCCCTGTTTCTCCTGAACAAAATGATATATAATAAGTGTAAGCATACTTAATATGAAAGAGGTAAATTATGATTGAAACGACATAGTAAAATTCCAGGTTTTGTTTTGATCAGAACGTGTAAAATTGCCTCCGTCCTTAATGCGTTAAAAGCATTTAGTTTGTAAACAAATTGGATAAAATGCATACATGCAATATCTAAAACGTGTTCTAATAGAGAAACAACTGAAATAGAATGTAAAATGTCTAGCAATAAAAAGCTTTAGTGACTGAGGATGACACCTCCCCTTGTACGCACACCTGATTAAACAACATGCATTCTTGGCAAATGTAGAAAATCTCACAGGATAGTGAGAGAACTTTGTTGTTACGAGAGTACACCAAAATCAAAAGGAGCTTCACGGAATCTGTTACCATGGTAAATATAAAAGTAAACTCTTAACAGATGTCACACAAACCAGCCAAAACAGCAAATAAAGAATAAATGAAAACTGAGGTTCACGGTCACACCCCAAATGTTTAATGAAGGACCACAGCATGTAATTTATCAGTGTGACAGATTATTGTTACGTTAATAAGAGGAACATACCTCACAAAATGTTCCTCTTGCATTGTCCTTTATTAAACTTTCGGGTTTCACAAATGAACGCCATTTATTAATTTACTTTATTTAGAGACTTCTTAGTAACTCTAAATGGTTCAGGTATTTATCATGCAACAGTCAAGTATCAACAAAAAGGATCACAAATTCATTTGAAGTATTTGGTTTTATTTCTGCATTTTTTAGCGCAACACAAAATGCTAGGCCATGATCTGTATTTGAAGGGAATGGAAAGGAATGGCCACTCATCAGCCCATTTCATGCAGCATAGTTTTGGCAGGCACATAGGTTATTTTTTTATTTTTTAAATGTCTCAACACAAGTTGTGGATTATCCGCATTTCTTTACAAAACAAAAAAAAAATGCATAAAAATAATTTTAAATTTTTTTTAAATAAAAGACAATGAACAAGTTCACAGTTCATTCAACATCCAGGTCTCAAGGTTGTGCTTCACACATATGCAATAGTGATTGTATTAAAGATAATCAGCCATCCTATCTTCCTGTTATTGTTGGTCTAGCAAAGATCCTAAACCTTAAAATAGCTTTACATTATAGTTTGTTGAAGTCGAATTTCAGAAACAATCATTGCCCACTTATTTACTACAAATAACACTAATTACATCAGATAAGCATGCATATAGGAAATTTATGTTTTAGGCCAACTTGGCTTTGCCACAAGCTGTGCAGTCCTGTGCAGGTGGATTTGGGTGGGGCAGCACCAGCTGACCCTCGCAGCGCAAGAATAAAAGGTATGCTTTCACACTTTAAGGGAGGGGCGGACAACTAAATAGTGTTTTTAACACTATAGGTTAGGAATACACGTTTGTATTCTTGATCCTATTGTGTTCCTTTAAGGGTGGAGAGCATTCGGGCTCATCAGCTTCCAGCCATATTTCTAGCTATCTGAACATTTTAGCCATGATGGGAGCCAAATGCCACAGAGGGGGAGGGAGACAATAGGGAGGAAAAAAAACAAAAGCGCAAACACAAACATTATAAACATCAGGCATAGTTGTGCTAAAGTGCCCCAAGGGGAGGGTAGGATTAATAATTAATATACATATTATTTGCTATGTACATATTAAATACATGGTGTCCATCCATAGTTAGGAGCATTGCTTGCTGTATTGTTGCAATAAGAGATGAGACTTTAAAGGCTCAGATATAATAAAAAGCATTCAAAACCACATATGGTCTCCTACCCTGTATTTTATAAATACAGATTAACTAGATAAAACCAGTCTAAGTTGGGGTACAAATGCATAAGAAGCAAAGGTCAAAGAGGAGGGAGGGGTTCAGATATAGAAAACATCCCATGTATGCAAGTTTATAGTGAAACAACCCATTATTGCTCTAATACGAAAAAGTGACTATATTAAATAAAACAAAACGGTGTACATCCATATTTTATATAGTGATTACTAAAGTGAAAATATCAAAATGTTAGTTAAAACAATCCATAGAACATAAAATATTTGTGGGTGAAAACAACCTGCAAATTATAGTCTTCTATAAGATGTGTATGGAACAAAAATATTGTTTTACAGTGATTTGTGTAGTATGAAGGCAGATTTACAACAGCCTATGTATTACAGTCTGAAGAAAGGCAACGTTTGCCCAAAACACTTCTCTTGTACATGCATGCACCCTTGAGATTAAGAAAAAATTATTTATAGTAAAGATTGTGATTCTGAAATCTCTCTAGGACATGATAGTTAAACAGGCTTTGGTTCAAAAGTCAATTTAATGTTTTCTTTGTAATACAATCACTACTGCATATAAATAAATTTATATTACATATTAATTTAAAACAGCACAAACAAGCATGAGGAATGCAGGCGAAGTAAATTAAGTCAAAACATCTTCTTATATTTTAAATAATTATTGCACAAATCAATTTATATTTAACCCAGCCTATTATTCACAGTCAGTAAGTCATTTATCATGATGGGAATTACCACGCCCCAATCAATGAAGATGCCAGGTTATATGTAACTATAACCTGTTACAAAACATTTCCTCTTTAGAGACACACAAAAGTCTACAATGTATATTGCTTCTCGTTCAAAAGTATATATATTTTAGAATTTACACATTGCTCCTTATTCATGAGAGTTAAAATATTATTTTAAAAAATGTATTATGGCCGTATTTTTTTTTAAAAAGTTCTATAAATATTTTACAATTTCAATATAGTGTTACACATATTCATTGAATTGTCATTTTAAGTTCTTGAAAATATCAAGAAGCAAGCCTGACCGTTTAGTGATAAAAATGATCTTGATAAATTTGACAAATTGAAGGTTCTAGAGAGAGCTGAGAATAGGTCTGGAATACATGTTGGCATAATAGTTGACATCAAGGGATGATTGAGTATCTTGTCCATTTTTCATAACTGCATGATTATAGTCAGAAGTGTAATTCGGATACTGGGGAAGATGGTCATTAGTGAGACACATGTCCATTTTAGAGGAATAAGATGAATCCTGTTCTACAGACATCAGCTGAGTAATTGAAAAAGGGTGTCTTCCAGACAATGTATCTTGTTTTAACTGAGCATCTTCTGCAGATAAGCCAAGGTAGCCTTCAGAGTGGCTTAATGGGTATAGAAGTTGTGATGATGAGCCCACTTCAGAAACTGGGCTAAGACCATCAGGAGAAGCACTGGTTGGTTGAGGAATACCAGGTACTGTGGAGTCCTCTTTGACACCAGTTTTAGGTGTTGGAGATAATTCATTATATGCTGCTTCCCTCAATCTCTTGCTTTGCTCATCAACAGTCTTGCTAGTTTTTCTCTCTCCATCTCCAGATCTGGTCTTCTCACACCTAAACCGTTTTTGTCGTCTGAGATAGCATCCATTTTCAAACATATTGCCCGAATCTGGGTGAAGAGTCCAGTAAGAACCTTTCCCAGGCTTCTCTGGTGATCTTGGAACCTTAATGAAGCAATCATTAAAGGAGAGTGAGTGACGTATGGAATTCTGCCAACGCTGCTGATTTTGCCGGTAGTAGGGAAAGAGATCAACTATCCACTGGTAGATCTCATTCAAAGTCATCATTTTGTTGTGAGATTGCTTGATGGCCATAGTAATAAGAGAAATGTAGGAGTATGGTGGTTTTGCGTGAGAGTAGTTTCTACGATAAGTACGAGGATCCCTCTGGAAGCCAGATTCTCCATGGCAGTAGTTTACTGGGTAAGCTGAAGATGGTGCTGTAGGTGGTAAAGAAGCCCCCATACTTTGGGTCATTGAGCCAAGAGAACCTATATTGTTTTGAATGCTGTTGACAGGTCCAGGTACACCATTATTCATGTAAGTCATAGAACCATCACTAGGCAAGAATGAGCCATTTGGAAGACCAGTATGCATGTTGTGTATCCCAGAATATACCTAGAAGAAATACAAAAGAAACATGTAAGAAAATTGCTTTACAAACAAGAGATAAAAACCAAACAGATCAGATGCATGGATTTACAAATAACTGCAAAATTCTAAACATTCTTCTGAACTAGTGTATTGACTACATTTAATTTGCCTAGTTTGATAGTTCAGAAATTTCTAAATATTCTTCTAAATCCCCTTATAGCAGACAATCTTACCCAACAGGCTTGGATATCCAAGTATGAGAAAAAGATGAAGGGAACCCTTTCTCACATACTTTGAAGACTCATATTGAAATTTAACACAGTAAGAGTTTCTTCAGTAAACTCCAAATTTCAGCAAAATTAAACCCAAACTGCAAAATTAAAATGACACTATAGTCACCAGTACAACTATAGCTTAATGTAATTGTTCTGGTAACTACTGCCTGTCCCTGCAGGCTTTTAATGTAAACACAGCCTTTGAACGCCTCTGATGGCAGTCACTCAGGCAGCCACTAGAGTTGCTTCCTGGGTCAGTACTGCACAATGTGCAGTGTCTCCACACTGTCCTTTCACAAAATAAAAAATAAACAAAACAAAATCTCAATTTCTCTCTCTAGAAGATTGTTTTATAAGTAGGAACGTTCTCTTTTAATTTACTGTTCCTTTTAATTACAAAAAAAAAGTATATTAAAAACATACAGGGTATATATGGTAAATATTAATGGTTAAAAGGGAAAAAAAAAGAGGGGAGAAAAAAAAAATACCAAAACAGTTACATCCACACAAACCAATACACGTGAACTGATACTTTGCATCACTATACAATACATCCTGTTCCCTTTCCTTCAGGTAATGAGGTACAAAAAAAGACCACATTATACAGAGGAAACACTTCCTCTGTTCCTTTATTGTACAAAGGTTCTTTTCTAATGAGGTTAAATTATTTAATGGGTCCCAAGACAGAGTTCATATGCATAACAATAAGAGCTGATTGGATGCTAAATGCAAGTTCTAGACACATACACAACATCCTGTTTAAGTCAGATGAGTAATGCAGCACCAGAAAAGGTTACAAGCTAAATAAAGTGTAATGATGTTATAGAACCTACTTCATCCAGGACTTCACTAACATCAGAAATAGTCAATGAAAGGAAATAGCCAAGCTAGGACCAAGTTGGAGAATGTTTCCAGATCTATTTTTTGCAATTGGGATTTCTGTTCACTGCAATTTGTTGTTTAATCACTAAATAACAAATGGTAGTCCACAGAAATCCAAAAGGTTCAAAAAAAGATTAATAATATTAATAAATAAGTTTTTTTTTTTTTTAAACAGCTGATCTTGATAAATTCACCAACCCAACTGTGGGAGATGTAGTCTGCAACATCTGGAGTGTCAAAGGTTTCCTACCCCTGGAACACAATATGAACATTTAAGAGTTTAGTGAATAAACCACTTTGGTTTAAAAAAAAAAAAAAAAAAACCTACTAACCCTCAAAAAACACTCACAGGCTCAGCATTACAATCATAACATATATTAGAAGCTTGTTAGAAAGGGGACTTCACAAGTATTAGCCACTTTATATTCCCAATGTAAAAGTGGAAAATAACCATGGAATAGGTTGAAAATAATGGAGAGGGATACTATATACACACACACACATACACTCACTGTTACCAAGACCAGCTTGGAGTCTCCTCAAATATCTCAATAATGCGGAATTTAGACATCGAATATCAATTTTATCTAGTCTTGGTGTGTTGGATAGTCTGAAAGTGCTTGGGGCGTGCAATGGGATTGGGGTTAAATTGTTTGTAGTGTTCTTTAAAAAAAAAAAAAAAAAAAATCCCCTTGGGGTGCAATGTCCCAGTCTCCTTAATCCTGCAATGCAAAACATTGCAGCCAGTAGAGATGCATTGTCGATTCACACAAAGTTTAACTTTGTGCAATGACGCTGGACGTCCTGCCATTTTGCAGGAGGTTTCCAAAGTCATGAAAACCCACCATAGGAAAGCATTGATTCATTGCTTACCTATGGGAAAAGCCTAATGCTTACACAAAGCTTGCTGCACATGTACATTACGTACCCCCATCGTCATGACATTGTGGGATGAACAGCTGGATCCAGCGCCGGGAGATCCTGGGGCTGCAATAAGGTAAGTGAAAGGAGGGTTTTTAACCCTTTAATCAGTGACGTGGAGGCAAGGAGGTAGATGGACACTAATTATTAGGAACGCAGTTTTTGTATTCTTCTAATTTAAATTTTTGATTCATAAAATTGTACAGGACAGTTAAATATTGCCCTTGCATCAGTATTCCAAGTAACAATACGATACAATCCTAAAAAGCAGATATAACTGCCATTGTACTGTAGGAGAGTCTAACAGATCAGAAAGATCAGATAAAGACCTAAAATCCTTAACAAAAATACTTTCCTCAATACCTCACCTAGCTTTTCAACATCATTCATCCTCAGTCATGGGCCTTACCACACCAGCACTATCAGGGTTATTTGCTAAAGTGTAAACTGATGGAATTCAGAGTGAATTTGAAATGTTAGACCATGATATTCAAATTTTGTCCAAAAATCAGTTTGAAATCCTAAAATTTTTCCTAGTGAATAACCCTGTAAAACTCGCAAAGAATTTACACGAATATATCAAAACGACTCAACTTGTGCACATAAACAAAGTGAATGTAACATTTGTTAATTCACAAAACAGTCAATTTTACCTAATTGAAAATGGAGTAAATAACCTTTAAATCAAATGAACTAAAATAACAATATGGCTAGCCATCTCAGCTAATGAGATTTTAAATTTCACACTGGGTCATTTACTGAAGTGAGAGTTCAAAGTAAATTTCAACTTTAAGGCCCAAAGTATCCAAACTGAAGACATTTTCCACATCAACTATGCTTCCTGTTCAATTACTTTGGCCTTAAATTCAAACTAATTTTTTTTCACTGTAGTGAAGAACTTTGTCAGTTTTGTAGCGCAGTCCATTACAACGATGACCAAAAATTAAATGCGAATTTAGATTTTTAGGCAAAAATAGTCAAATTGGAAAGATTTTGCCACGTCAGTTATGGTTTCAGTTTCACTAATTTGCCCAAACAGAATTCCTGGCAATTTAAACTTAAGTTAATAAAACAGTTTCCAAATAAATTTAGTTTCCAGTTCAGTGGATTTTGTATTTGTATGGAGATTGGGATCTTACCTCACTCTCTGGATACATGGAATTCCAATCCACTGCCTCTTCCAACTCCAGTTTCACCCTGTTATGCATGATATGTTGTATAGGATTGTGTATTATAAGGTCAGATGTGTAGTTGGCCACCAATCCACAGGTGAACTGTTACAGTTGGGTCTTCTTGAACAATTTGGCTATATGTACCCTTCACTTGGGACATTTAAAGACACCCCTACAGATCATGCAAATTGCACAGTCTCCACCCCTTTTACCCTATCTCTCTCTCAGCTCTGCAGGTAGTCGGTGGAGAGGTCAATCAGAGCAGGACAAAGAAATGTTATACACATCCCCCCTTCCCCTTTTCTTTCACACACACCTCCTATCTTTTTCTTTTTTTCACTCATACTGTCTGTCTCATCAAAATGCTAATAGCATCAAGGGTTTCCTAGTTCCACAAAGGCATAGGGCCAGGGTGGCATTTTTATTCCTAAAATGCATTGTGAAAAGAAACTTCCTGTCTCTTAATTTGGGGACAGCTGTGCGTTGATCCTTGTTAAATGGGAACATTACCTGGCAAGCAGTAAGTGAAAGTTGGAATATAAGAAAAGCCGCTGTTTAAAGTTTGACAACATGACACGCAGTATGAAAGCATTGCAAAGGTTTAGGGGCTTGTTTACTAAACACTAAATTCTAGTAATTGTAAAGTGAATTGCAAAATTTGTGCCTTTTTTGTCTACATTTTTTTTAAATCCATTTTCAATTCTTTGGAATTTAGGTTTAACTTATAAAAGTAAGCTAAAATTTTTAAAGTGGGCAAAACAATCCAATTTGTATATAAGCTATTATAAAGTATGTATCACCTTTCCTACCCTCATTCTTTTTATTGTACATTGTCTGTATTTTTTTTAATTCCGATAAAAATTAGCAAAATAGAAAGGATTATGTATAAAAAGTGTTGTGCTCAATTTTTCTAATGCTTTTCCTGTTTACGCCTATGTATTCTCTTATTTGCACCAAAATATTCCTTCTTGTGCCTATTCCATAATTTTATGTTCCTGTTCCATTTCTGATCAGTTTTGTTCGGTTCACAAATGTGTGGCTCCCAGTGTATAAAAATAAATAGGTCCAAGAGTACAACTTTTTTTTTTCAACAAAATTTTTCAGGTAAACAACTTTTACTTTCTTCTATTTTGTTTAAGGAATAAAAATTCCTTTTAATTGCAAATGTGTCTTTTTTTCCTAGTACTATTACTAATTTGTTCATTTTTTTTTTAAATATAATCAACAGTAAAACCAAAGAGGAGCAAAACAATCACATAGGGGAATAAAAAATTACAGAATATACTTTGCAAACTAGAGTCAAAACTAGTCTTTGTTCTACAAATAAACTATTGGAAAGTACTTCAATGTACCTTCAAATACTCTAATATTTACAGCACCGTTTCATGCTGTATATAATCTCAAAATCATGAATTGTGGAGAATTGACAGAGATTAAAAGCAATTGCATTTGTATTGAATTTGGCTATTTTTGCCCCTTGTCAATTCTCTTGAACTTCTAGTTTACTGAAGAATTGTGTCTGTATTATTAACAAATATGGCATCTGATGTATAAAAAGTGATGCATTCGCTTTCACGTATGTGTCAGTTTTGTGTACGTGCACCATTTTGTCATGTATAAAACTGTTACTACACCCTTTATACTTTGAAAACTTGTTTTTCTGTATTTTCAGTGGTGGAAAAATTAGTTTGAAAGAAGGGTGCACTCTTTTTATATATATATATATATATATATATATATATATATATATTGACAGCACAACTATTTCTGACTGATTAAAACAACAAAAAGGATGGACACAGGAAACTGTCAGGATGGACAAAAAGAGAAAAAATTTGGTGCAAATGAAGGGATATATTGAAACAAACAGAAAATGTGGCAAGAGTTTGGAGTGAAAGCCATGATAGTTTTTTATAAATCAGCCCCATATTTTGAAAATCAGTCTATCTCCCTCTCTTGTCAAATATAGGAGTGGTAAGTAAATTTTTCAGGGAAAAAAAATCATAAAATATGTAACAGTTCTCCTGCTATCATTGGTTTTATTGTAAATTTCATGTATTTTTTAAATTAGGATTAAAATAAACAAAATAGGATTTTGTATAAAAAGCTCAACTTTATACTGTACATTGTTCAGAGTTGCTCACTAAGTTGCTAATAAAAATCAAGATAGCAAAATGTAGGCTACAATAGTTGAGCTTTGCTTGTAGCAAAGTTGGGGAATTTTTCCAAATCAGCTATTTTAGTCTGTTTTTCCAATCTCGATTTTACCTCACTATAATTTGCAGGCTAGTTAATAACTATATATATGTTGTATTCTTCATTAAATTGGGAATTCTGGAAAAATTATGTTGACATTTTAAACTTCAAATTAGAAATAAGTAAATTGAAAGCGATTTTTTAAAAAGTTTGGTTAATTTGTCCTAAAAGTTGCAGTTCTATTGTCTGATCCAGACAATGCTCTATTTACCGAACCTATTCCATTGAGATGGTATCTTGGCATTGTTTTTTGCTTAATTAATTTTTTGCTAAATGAAGTGCAAAATGTAGGCCAAACTGAAGCTAGCAATTAAATTAACTAATTTTACCAATTCAGTTCTTCAGGTCTAAATGTTACAATTTGATTTAAAATTACTTTACTTGTTAGTATATAAACCCTATATATTAATTTATACTGACATGGATACATGATTAGTGCTACATAGCAGTATGTAGCATTCATATGCAGCCTAAGAAAAACTATTACATAATCATGGTCAGGTTCCTATAGAAGACACCCTTGATTAATTAATTGATTTCCTCTAGCAGTGTGCAAATTCTACCTACTGCTGGGAGGTACTGTTCACATACCCCGTGACAGCATGTGTACAGGAAAACAAGTCTAAGGTGACAATGCTAATGACAAAACTTACAATTAGTGATGAAACAATTCCTTCTTTTTTTTTTTTTTTTATTGGGGATGAAAACATGGAATTCTTAAAAACACATTATATGTCCAACATTCCAGGATTATGCATAGGATGCATTATGCAAACAAACTTAAATTTTTTTCCAGTTTCCAATAGTGTTTGTTATTTTGTCCTTTATACTCTTATTTATAGTTTTGCAGTTATACCAAACTTTCTATGGCGCAATAAAATGTCAGATAAAATGTGTGTGGAATTGTGCCTGAATTTTATACGAGGCCTCGCCACTCTTTCGGTTGAAAAAAAAAGAAGTTGAGGATATCACTAAGGGTGCAAATAGGAAAAGTGTGGCACAACAAAAGAAAGTAAATGTGTAAAATACAAAATGCAACAACAAAAAAGGTGTAAATATTACAAAATAACAAGATATGTTACACTCTTTGTACACAACTCCATGCAATAGTGATATACATTACAATAGCCATAGAAAAAAAGTGTAAATTTTCCAGTTCAGAATTGCCACTTTGATCTCTGTTTTTTTAAATGTATTTAAATATTCACACAAAAAAAATTAAGTTATACACTAGGTCAATGATGCATGATTTCATTTTTAGAAAATAATTTACATTACGAACAATCAATTCAAAGTCTAGGGTTCCCTTATTTTGTAGAAAAACCATATTTAATTGTATTTTTATAAGCCATGATTAATGTGTATCAGTCCATCTTTAAGTAATTGGCACACTTAATGCAGAAGTCATTGTTTCTTAGATTAAAGAGGCAATTAACATATTTAATTAACCTACTTATCTACTGGCATGTAATACACAGAGCTATCCTGTATAAGGTATGCAACACATATCACTTTGCTGTTCTTATTCTTGGATACTAGTTTAAAAGTCTGTATTTGGTAAAAATATAGACTGTGTCTTTAACTTTATAGTTTATCCATTAAAGATTATTTTTAATGTTCCCTGTGATTAAACATGAACATTTTAAATCTAGCAAGAACAGTCAAAAATGTTGTGTAAAAAAAATCACAAATTTAATTTAAGGTACACAGGGTACATATAACAGAGCTGCATTTATTCATTTATGGTATTTTTTTAAGAGTGTACGGATTTAGCTTCAATACCTCCTGGGATGTAGTCATTCAATTAACAGGTATGTAGTACAAACAGAGGCACACCAAGGTCAAGCTTCCAGATTGGAGTATAGTCAAAACTAATACGTGTCAGGGAACCACAAATGCGAATAGTAAACGATAAATACTCAAATCAAGTAGGGGACCTTGAATATTACCAATCAAAAGAGTGAGAACTACATAAGTACAAGGAGGCCAGTAGCCAGCCACACTTTCGAGGATGTCACAGACCTGTGTAGTATAACTTAAACCACTACTGGATAATGCCCTGGAATATTTGCATCAGTATATGAGGCTTGGAACACTTAATTATGCTTTGCATTTCAATGTGGAGCGCAGTAATTTTTTTTTTTACAGATCTACCGGCATTATTGCTTCTACCAGCAAAATGTTTCTCCGTTTGCAGCAGCAACTTGCCACCATTTTTATCCCTGACATTGATAATGCTCTACTATAGGTTGTAATTCACTCTCAGAAGCCAATCAGAAGGCATCTCCCAAAAGAGAGTTGGACTAGCATATTTTATGGAACTTATTCTTGGGCCCTGGTGCTTGAAAGGGCACTTCAGCCACCAAAACAACTTCAATCTTTAATAAGTTGTTATGGTGCCTGTAGGCCTCCGGGGGCATTTTCACCTTCACGCTGGATGGAGTGGAGATAGGTGCTATTAGCAAATTGGGGATAAACCATTCAAGGAAGGTTTAACTTCTGAAGGTGAGAATGCGACTGCGGGTCACCCGATACCATAACACCGTCATTTAGATGACATTGTTATGGTGCCTTAAGCATCCTAAACTGTCCTCTTAACCCCTTTAACCATTCCTATGTAAAGAATGAACAGCGGGACTTAACTGGCAACCAGCCTAGGGCCCTGTGGATCTTAATTCTTTACTGAGTCTGTGCGGTTAGTCTCCAATTGAAATATCAAGCACAATGTGCATATGATTGGGATTTATTGATAGTTTCAAACCAGCTATTTAAAAAACACA